TAAATTAATTAGATTTTTTTGAATTATTTATTAATATAACAATATTAAAAAATTGTAGAGAACAATTTATTTCGTTAATATTTTAAAGAGAATTTTAAAAGATATATATTTATTTGAACAACATAAAATAGAAAAAGTTACATTTTTTACAAACAAAATATATCTCAAAAACAATGTTTCATATTTATTTAATAAATATTTTACTCTAAAAATATTTAATTTGAATGTAACTTAATAAGAAAAAATTAAAAAAATTAAATGTTTTTTAGATAGTAGCAATGAAAATTGAAAATCACTAATAATAATTTGAAATAGGTTTTTATTTTAATTGTAGTTAAGTCATTAAAATGATGTGTCATCCACATCACCTCATTAAAGCCACACAAGCAAAAAAGTCAAAGGGTTAACCGGTTTAAAAGGTAACAGATTACCCATTGCTATTATGGGTAGATTTTTTAAAGTATAATGTCTTAATAAAAAATAATTTAAAAGTATATTGTTGTAATAAAGATAAACAAAAGTAGAATGCTATAATAAGAAATTTTATGAAAGTATGTTGCTATCTCATGCATTTAACCCTATATTTTTTTTCAAACTTTTATGATATCTCCAGATTTATATTTTATTTAAAAATAAAATCGTTATCGCTTTCTTAAAAACACATAAAAATCGTTTTATAACATTGATAGCGATAAATAATAAAATAAAATATTAAAATCGAGATATATCTCGTTGGATTGTGCGAGTACCATTCTAATATATACTAATAAATATCCTAAATCTTAATTTTAAATAAAAAATTTATTGTCGGTCCCATTAATTGTAATATTACTTTTTGGTTTTCATTCTCAACGAAAATGGGAATATCCTTCCTATCTTCCCCCTTCCCATTTGGATTTGCTCTTTTTTCCCTATAAATTAATATCTCCATTTCAATTTTCATTTTCATTTCCATTTTTTTCAATCCATAGTTTCATCTTCTTATGCTGCTTTGAACGGTTTCTAGTCGAATTTAGGTTTGGAATCAAGCAGTAGATTGATATGGAGTTACGGAAAATTTCATCGGTTTTGATCGTAGCTCCATTGTTGTTCATGGCTATTGCTGCTGCTTGCTCCAACGGAACATGCAAGGTACGTCTCTCTGTGTATCGAATTCTCGATTTGAGTCGAATTTGTGTAAATTTCTGAAAAATTATGCATAATCTTACGGTTGCTCTCACACAACAAATGAAATTTGGATTGATTTCCGAGTGCAGTTACTGGATGATTGTGAAACGGACGGAGATTGCGAGGCTGGACTTCAATGTTTCTCGTGTCCTCAAGGATTTTTAGGCTCCAAATGTGTTCGATCAAAGGCTACACCGGTGTTCAATCTTCTGGTCCGTTTCTCTATCTCTTCAAAATTTTTACCTAGAACAGCGATTCAGCGAAGGATAGTGAACGTTGCAGATGAATGGACTTCAATATGTGTGTTTGTGTGTCTGTGAAAGCAGAACGTTGATTTCAACGACGATGCCTCTTTTTTTGGCGATTATCGTATGAACGTAGCGATGGATTGTTGTCGGTATGAAACAGACGGATGGTCAAGTTATAGCCATGGACGTTAACTACAAGGACAGTCATGGTTAAATTCTCCTAATTTAGTAGATGCAAAAGTCAAATCATCCCTTTGTTTGTGCAAAATTATATACTCAGATAGTCCGATAGATTCTCAAAACATTTCTGCATATAAAAATAAAATTCAAAATCTATAAAAAAATTACTTTTTAAAAATTACGACATTTATATTATTAAAATATTATATCTTAAATATTTAACCTCTTGTTATTGGTGAAATTATAATAAAAAATTATTTCCAAGTAATCATTTTGAAATAGCTATTGGAGAATATTTTCCAATTTTGAAGAATTTATGCCAAGTCTAATGCTTTTTCTATTTTGGAGAATTTAACGGAGCAAAATTTTATCAAAAATTTTATTTTCTTCATTTTAAAAAATCCGTACTAAAATAGATGTTTACAATAAAAAACAGTTTTAAAATATGTAATTATTACGTTTTTTAATTTACAAAAGAACGATTTTATCCTTAATTATAGAGATATAAATTTAGTCCACCTAAGGGTAAACTGAACCCTTAATTAAACAACATAAACGTATATTTATTGGTGTTGTTAAATGAAACCTTTTTTAGGTCATTCATCAGTTAAAAATGTAAAAAATGAAAGTTGATGTTGATACATGTGGAAAATCAAGATGATAAAGAGGTGTTCATTTAGAAGTAGAAAGGGGTTTGATTTAGAATCACGCAAAATCTATATGACTCCCATCGAGTACATCAACTCAATCCAAGCATGTATGGTGAGAATGGTCAATAGAAGCTTGAATAATTTACATCATTTCTTTTATATTATCTTCTTTTTAATCCTTAGAATCGATTATTTGTGTCCACTAATCTATACTATAGAGTGTGATTGTAATTCATATGAGTGAGGTCTAGGGTTCGAACCTGGACACTTCATTCATGTGTTGATTTACCTACTCATGATGATTGTGAGATCAGTATGATGGGACGGTCTACCCTTTATAATTGATTATTTATATGGAATCAACCAAAACGGGGCCACAACCGTGTCTCCGATTTCTTGTGAAGTTAATTGTGGTTATTATGATTGAGAAGACATTTTGTTGCGTAGCGTTTTTTTGGAGACTTTAGAACCCACAAATTGCATATTTGATGACATGATATCATCACCTAACATTAGAACGAAAGTCAAAGTGGGTTAGGTCGCTCATTAAAGTTCTTGAACAACCCAGTTGGCTCTGTTCAGAAAACAAACCTTTGTGCTGGGTTCATGCCTCATAGAATCAACTTTCTGGGCTGGGCTGGGCTTATGGCTTTCCTTCTTCATGCTTTATAATCTCCAGATTTTAACCAACTTTTAATGGTTTTGTTTGTTTGAACCATCGAATAACAGAATAATTCTCTCCCGTTCAACAAATACGCGTTCTTGACAACACATAATGCCTTCGCAATCGATGATGGGACCCCGCGAGTTGCCCCAACAAATCAAGAAGACAGTATCACTCAACAACTAAACGTATGTTTCTTCTCTCATTAGAGTGGACATGTTTTATTGTTTATATCATCTCATCTTTCACAACATTTGTGGGTCCTACATACTACAAAAGAAAAAAAAAGATTTTTCATTTTCGCCATGTTTGCCAAATATGATACATTTTTATTTTATTTTAATTCAAATCCCGTTTGATAAACTATAAGCTAGTTTTTTGAAAAGTTATTTAGATACCCTTTCGGTAGATTCCATTTTCCCCTTCCAATGCCCCTTAAATTTTTACATTTATTTTTTTAACATGTCTTTTTATATCATTTTATATTGTCATTTAGTTTATTAGTTAGTTTGTCAACCATACCCTTTATTATCAGCAAACAACGATCTTATAAGTTAATAATTAGCTTATTGGCTACTTTCCTAAACATAGCTTTTGAGTTTATATAATATATATTCATTATTTGTTTAATAATGTATTACTTGTTATTATCGTATTCAATAGAATGGGGTTCGAGCTTTGATGCTTGATACGTATGATTTTGAAGATACGGTATGGTTATGCCATTCTTTTGGTGGAAAATGTTACGACTACACTAAATTTGTAAGCAATACGTTTTCTCGTGCCATTTCTGCCCTTATATTTCATGCAACTGCTATGAGTTTATGACATTTTTAACCCGATGCAATGTGTTTACATAGTAGGAACCGGCCATAGACGCTTTGAAAGAAATCGAAGCTTTTCTATCAGCAAATCCGAATGAAATTGTGACAATCATCCTCGAAGACTATGTACAAGCACCTAACGGTTTGACCCAAGTTTTTACCAACGCAGGGCTGATGAAGTACTGGTTTCCCATAACGAGTATGCCACAAGGTGGCCAAGATTGGCCGTTGGTTAAAGACATGGTCGCGAACAACCAAAGGTTACTTGTTTTCGGCTCGGTTAGATCCAAAGAACAGAGCGAAGGAATTGCATACCAGTGGAACTACATGGTTGAAAATCAATGTAAGCCAAGTTGGTATTCACCTTTTACTACTTTTAAAAGAAAAAAAAGGTCCAAAATCGAAACCATATTGAAGTATGCGTGGTTGGTTCATTGCGACTAATATTGGTTATTTGATTTCTATATAATTAGATAATCATAAAGTAAGAATATAACGTGTTGGAGTCCCACGTTGACCTGACTTTTAAACAATTATTTTTCATATATGTTGGAACATTTATCTTCTTCTCATGGCTTTTTTGGAGAGTAATCTTATCTGATGGAGTTATACGTTTTCTTTGAAGTACATAATATTTAGAGTAAACTACAAATTTGGCCTCTGTAGTTTGTTGGAAATAACATTTTTTTATCCCTACAGTTTCAAAATTACATGATGGTCATCATGGTTTGAAAAAACGTATGGATTTGGTCCCTCCCTCTAATGGCCGGTAAAAAATTTCGTTAAATGAGGGAAATTTTTGTTCTTTTATCAATTTTTTTAACCCAATTAAAATCATTTTATGATTTGGTTCTTGTGGTTTTTGATTGGGTAAAAAACAAAAAAAATCGATAGATAACAGAAAGAAAATGCCCCCCATTAACTGAAATATTAACAACCGTTAGAGGGCAGCACGTAATCCGGAATTTTCTCAAAAAAAAAAAGTGGTCATTTTGTAATTTTAAAACTGCAGGGACGAAAGTCTTATTTCCGAAAAACCACAAAGACCAAATTTGTAGTTTACTCTAATATTTATATGCGGCCAATGAATTCACACACCCATATCATATTTGGTGAGGTTTAAACCCCTTACCTCCCGAAAGGAGGCCAAAGGCTCAAATATCGATAGACCAAAAGACCTTTGGATGGAGTTATCCATATACTCAGATGGTATCATAGCTAAAGTCTACCACCCTATGGACTTGATACTCTTGGTGATTTTTACTTGTCTACCCCCTGGCCCCTATCAATACTCTTGGACAATCTGTGTGCAGCTAGTCTCTGTTGTAGGGGTGTGTTGGAGTCCAATATTTGTTGGAACCTCATTTCTCTTCTCAAACTCTTTTGAAGAGTAATCTGATGGGGTTTGACATATTCTCATACATATATGTACCTTTTGTTTTCGAGTTGTGCATATTTTATTTATTTATCGTGTTGATTTTAGATGGGAATGATGGAATGAAGGCGGGGGAGTGTCCAAACAGGGCAGAGTCGTCTCCGATGAACGACCAAACAAAATCACTTGTTTTAGTGAACTACTTCCGTACGCTTCCTTTGAAGGTGTTGGCATGCGGACAAAATTCCGGAGGCCTCTTTAACATGACCAAGACTTGCTACAGTGATTCCGGCAATCGTTGGGCCAACTTTCTTGCTGTCGATTTTTACAAGGTACCAAAACAAAGCTCTGGTCTTCAACATTTAAATGGGATGGTAGGCAGCAACCATAAACTAGCTTATATTTTTCACTTGTTAAAGAACACTTTTCTGTAAGCTATATAGGCTAGTTCTTTTGAAAAACTACTTTATACAGTTCATTAGCCAACAATTAGTTTTTCAGCTAACAACTAGTTGATATAGACCAACTGTGTGCTTATCAACTAGTTTGCCCAACATAGCCGTAATGGTTAAAGTTACAACTCTCGAGTCTTTCTGACATTCAATGGGATTTTGTTTAATTCTATAGAGGAGTGAAGGCGGAGGGACGTTTCAAGCCGTTGACTTGCTAAACGGAGAGCGTTTGTGCGGATGCAATGACGTACATGCGTGTGTGGTAAGTCGAATACTCGTCGGTAACTTATTTTTTCGTATTCATTAACTATATTCACCAAATATCATAATGAGGAAAATTGCATATTTTGCAGCCTGGAGGAGGAAGCTGTACACCCTGAGGTTTTTGGGACCAAATAAGACCAATGTTTTCCATGACATCAAAATACAAAACAATACTGTATTAAGAATTCTAGTTTTTCTTGGTAATTATTTGTGATGCATGTTTCTTTTTCTGGGAAACTAGAAATTAAAGAAAGAAAGATTGATTATTTTTAGCATCTTCTATTATCATGTTAAATATGAGTTTTTAAATAAGGCTTCCAAATTTTTGGGGATTAATTTTACTTGTGTTTACATCGTGTTCTCGAATTTGGAGAGAAAAGAAAAGAAATGGAAGGAAAACAATTTTATTATTTATGTTCTCGAATGTAACGTTTGGTATGCAGACATGATTGGACAAGACATGACAAAACTAGATAGGATTGCACAAGACAAAACTAGATAGGACTGCATAGGACAAGAGGATATGACTAGACAGAACAAGTGTTTGTCTAGTGTTTGGTACGACTAGAACCGGATATGACAAAACTAGATAAATTGCCCCCAAAACTTATTTCATGATTATATATATATATATATATAGGGTATTTTTCAAATGCAACCATTTCCATTTGTACAACCAATGCAACCCAACTAATTGAGATATTTATAGAAATGATGAGAGTTTATTTATTACGATTTGAATATTTATGGAAGATGAATAAAGTTCATT